TGGGGGGGGGGCTACAGGGTGGGGGTGGGGCTAGTAAGGAGGGGCGGGGTGATTGGCAGCAAGGGGGTTATGGGAGGGGCTTAGGAGGGAGGGAGGGGGCTAGGGGGCAGGGGGCCCTGAAATGGGGGCTGTGGGGTGGAGCTGGGTGCAGGGGATGGGGCTAGGCACTGAAAGGGATGTGTAGGCAGGGTTTAGGGTACCTGGGGTAGGGCAAGGGACAGGGGAGGGGCCTATTCTGACTCCCCTGTCCCCCTCCCCAGGCTCCTTCTCGGACATGCGGCTGAAGGGCTGCGCCCTCCTGCCTGGCTGTGACCACGGTGCCCTCGGCTTCGACATGGGGTCGGGTGCGCTGCGGGCCCAGTGCTGCAACACCCCCCTCTGCAACCACCAGGACTCAGGTATCCAGGGGAACTGCCCCCATCCTTGGGAGAGGTCCTGATTCTGGGCAGGGAAGGGGGATGATTGTGTCTGTGAGGCCCTGACACTGGGAGAAAAGGGCCCTTACTGAGCAGGAAAGTGGGGGATATTATGTTGGTGGGGCCCCGATTCTGGGATAAAAGGTCCCGCAGGGAACAGTAGCTGGGGGATGTGATTATGTGTGTAAGGTCCCAATCCTGGGATAGAAAGGCCCAATCCTGGGCAAGGAAGAGAGGGAGAGAAGGACATGATCCCAGCCAGGGAGGGAGGAAAGGACCCCGCCCTGGGGCTCCTGGAGACTCGTGGGATATACCTCCCCCTACCTCTTAGACCTACATCTGGAGGCTGAGGCTCCCAACGGGCTGCACTGCCTGTCCTGCCTGGATCAAGATGGCTCTGGCTGCCCCACGGACACTGACGCTGGTGCCACCGTCCAATGCACCGGAGCCCACACCGTCTGCCTGGAGGGTGTGGGTCGCACCCGCCGTGGTGAGCCCCAAGGCCCAATCCTGTCCGGGGAGGGGGAGGCATAAGGAATGGGTCTTGATCCTGGGCTGGGAGGAGAGCCGTAAGGGGCTGGGCCCCAATCCTGGCCTGATGGGAGACATAAAGGTTGGGCCCTGATCTTGCGTGGCGGTGCGGGGAAGGGTGGGGGCATAAGAATTGGGCCCCAATCTGGGACCCTCTCCCTCGTCCTCACTACTCCTCCATCTACCCGCAGGGACCCCCAGTGGGACCCTGGTGACCTTCAAGGGCTGCGCAACCCCAGCCATGTGCCAGAGCTCGCTGCTGGCACTGGTGCAGGAGCTGGATGACACCCAGGTCCTGTGCTGTAACGGCTCCCTCTGCAACCGCCACCTGCCCAGGGGTGTCCTTGTTGCTGCCAGCACTGCCCCCCAGCCAACGGGGGTCCCCGATTGCGTGCCGTGCACCTCCACCCCCACCCTACCCCCCACCCCCAAGCCCGACTGCATCCTGGAGGACGATGACTATGCAGGCCCCAGACCAGGCACTGCTACGACAATGGGCAGACACGGCGCTACATTGCCTCCAAGCACCGAGAGCTCCTGGGACCGGATGTTGGTGCCCGGTGGGTTCTACTCGGATGACAGCGCTGCGAGGACAGCAGACGAACAAGGGCACCCGGCCTGGGAGGCTGCAGGCAACTACATTACCGCGGCACCCCAAGGCACAGGCAGCTCCCGGGACCAGGTGTTGCATGCTGGTGGCTTCTACTCCAACAGCAATACTGTGACGTCTACAGGTGGACAGAATCAGTCAGGCTGGGAGGTGTCAGACAACCACGACACCGCATCATCCCAGGGTGCAGATAGCTCCTGGGACCGGGTATTGAATGCCGGTGGGGTCTACTCCAATGGCAACACTGTGACAGCAACAAGCAGACAGGGCTGGGAGGCATCAGGCAACCACGTCACTGCATCATCCCAGGGCTCTGACAGCTCCCGGGACCAGGTGTTGGATTCTGGTGGTTTCTACTCCAATGGCAACACTGAGACGGCTACAGGCAGACACAGCCAGCCAGGCTGGGAGGTGTCAGGCAACCACATCACTGCATCATCCCAGGGTGTAGATAGCTCCTGGGACCGGGTATTGAATGCCGGTGGGGTCTACTCCAATGGCAACACCGTGACGGCAACAGTCGGACGTGGCCCACCAGGCTGGGAGGTGTCAGGCAACCACATCATCGCATCTCCCCAAGGCGCAGATAACTCCAGGGACCGGGTGTTGGACACTGGTGGCTTCTACTCCAGTGGCAACACAGTGACGGCAACAGGCGGACATGACCAGCCAGGCTGGGAGGCATCAGGCAAGCATGTCACTGTGTCATCCCAGGACACAGATGGCTCCCGGGACCGGGTGTTGAATGCTGGTGGGTTCTACTCTGATGGCAACACCGTGACAGCTACAGGCAGTCGCAACCAGCCAGGGCGGGAGGTGTTGGGCAGCTACATCACTGCATCATCCCAGGGCATGGATAACTCCCGGGACCAGGTGTTGGATGCTGGCAGGGTGTACTCTGATGGCAAAACTGTGATGGTGACAGGTGGACATGACCAGCCGGGCTGGGAAGTGTTAGGCAATCACATCACCGCATCTCCCCAGGGCTCTGATGACTCCCGAGACCGGGTGTTGGATGCTGGTGGCTTCTACTCCAGCGGCAATACCGTGTCGGTGACAGTCGGACATGGCCAGCCAGGCCGGGAGGCATCAGGCGGCGTCGCACCAGCCAGGGTGGCAGAGCAGGAGTGTGCAGATGATGCTGAGGGCACCACGTCCGTCTCCCGGGCTGCGGGGGTCGCAGCTCCCGTGGGGTCAGAGGTCACGGCATCACCCTCCCTACGCCCAGTGCAGCCTCAGGACCCCTTGGCAGCCATCTTGCCTGTCCCCTACCTCTTCCCACAGCAGATGGAGGGTGGAGCCTCTGGAGCAGAGGGCAGAGCTATGGTGACGCCTGGCACCCGGCGCCCCTGCCGCAGGCGCCCCCCAGGCAAGGGTCACATGGTTGCCCGGGAGGCTGGGGGTGCCCGGGACTCCGCCTCCTCTTCAACCCACACGTTTCCCATCAACATCCGCAACATCACCGCAGCGACCAGCTCCCCCGGCCAATCCCGGCCAGGCCTGCGGGAGTGGGGCAGGAATGAGACCTGGGCCAAGGAGCCTGGCCTAGGCAAGCCCAACCTGCCCCTGCCCAGTGGGGGGCCTGGCCCCACCCCCGGCCTCTGCCTGCTGGGCCTCACTGCCCTGCTGGGGGCCCTGCTGTGCTGAGCCCCACAGGGACCTGACCCAGGCACCTGGGACCGTCCCATTCTGACCCCTCACCTGGAGCTGGAGAGGACCCAGGCTCCCCCCCACCCCTCCCTGGTCAACCCCTGCTCCCTTTCCCCACTCCCCTGCCCCTCCCGGGGACCCAGGCATCCGGGCACCACCTTGCCATCAACCCTGCCCCCTGTCCCCACTCCCCCTGCTTCCCCCAGAGGGAACCCAGGAGACTGCGCTCCTGGACTGGGGCGGATCAAGCCCCGCTTTGTTATTTATTGCCCTTTGTTAGCGGGGGGATGCGGGAGGGGCAGTTGCGCAGCACCCCCTGTGGGGGGGAGGAGAATAAAGAGATGGAGCCTGAAAGTGTGGCCCTGCCTGGTCCATGGGGGGAGGGTCTGTGTCTTGGAGGCCTGGGTTCTCTGTGTCAGCCCTGGGCACCCCAGGGGTGGGCGGGGAGCGGATGGGGGCAGGCAGGGCAGTGGTTGCTAGAGGATCCTGACACTGTGACACCCCCAGCCACACACACTCCCACCCTCCCTCCTCCCACATCCCCTGCATCTGGTGACAATTTCCTCACCACAACTTCCTCTGGCTACCCAGAGAGAGCCCAGGCTGCCACCCTGCCCCCCCGCCCTGGACACCCAGCTCCCTCCCTGGCTGGAGAGAACCCGGGTGTCCGGGCAGCCCCGGGCCATGGCCTGGGGCCGGCCTGGTGCCTGGACACCCGGGTTCTCTGCTCCTCCCCCTGCCTCAGTTTACCCACCTGGGAGACTGGACTGAGGCCCTAACGCCTGTGTTCTCTGAGGGGGAGGACTTGGGGCAGGGGTGGGAACCGTGGGGCAGGGCCTAGGTGCCGTATCCTGGATGTGTGTGTCCCAGACACCTGGGGGGGTGTCCCGGACACCTGGGAGGGGGCGCCCATGGGTGTGGGGGGGTGTACATTGGACTCCCGGGTTCTTCCCTCATTTATGGTGGCTTGAGCTGGCCTTGAGTCAGCAGGGAG